TCTCTCTCTCTCTCTCTCTCTCTCACACACACACACACACACACACACACACACACACACACACACACACACACACACACACACATGCAAACACAACCTATGCACCCATACACAAACTGCACAGAGAAAGCACAGCATAGAAGCACAGTGAGTTAGGCAGCTCTCTACCTCTTCCTGAACAGCAGACCAATCCAGTTTCTCTTCGTCCGGATTGCTGTGACCAACCACAATTTGGAACAGCCGGATCTCCATGTTTTTCCTGAAATGAACATTGTCACGATAGATTGACGGATTGAACAGATGCATGGCTGCCTTTCCCACTAAGGCTGCAAGATCTGCCAAAAGAGCCTGCATCAGTCAAGACAACAGTGCTCTCCTCAGAAACAAACGAAAACCGAGAAAAAAAAAAATAAGAAGAACAAACGAAAATCCAAACAAAAGGAAAAAAGAGGTCGCACTCATGTGGCAATGTATAGATAAAACTGACCGCAACTGATTTGTAATACTGTAGCCAGCGAAACGACACTGTGCATGAGCAAAAAATATAGATGGAAACGAGCAACAAAGCGGGGAGGCCACAAAGGGGAGGTAGGGAGAGAAAGGGAGGGAGAAAAGCTCCTTTTCAACTATACATGGCAAGGTCGCATCAGCCCAGCTACCTGTGCCTTTGCTCTATCAACCTCCATCATGAAGACATGGTTTCAGCAATGCAATTAACCCAGTTCTACATCTGACAGTTTTTAACAGGGATTCTGTTTGAGATACTCATGAAGACATGGTTTCAGCAATGCAATTAACCCAGTTCTACATCTGCACGTACCGTAAGAGCTCAACAACTGCACAGACTAGCAGATTTAGGCACAATTGCTACAGTTCGGCAATTGCATCTTGGAGGCAAACCTCTTCACAGAGACCAATTCAGAGAAAGGGGATGAAGAGGGTGCTAGTGCATGGACCAGATTGCCAGCCTGCAACACATACCGTGGAATGATGTGACACTGGGTACTCAACCACCCGTGGAATTGTTCCTTCACCGACAAAGCCATCCCCTGCAAGGCGTGGCCCATATAGAGGAGGTCCAGCTGAGAGATCAATCCAAAGATATCGTCCCTGAAGAAGGGTGGGTAAAGCAAGAAGATCGAAAGAACCGAAGGAAACAAGCAATTTTGGTCAGGAGATGGAATCCTCGTTTATTGCAAAAAAATTGAAACGGCATTAGCAAGTAATCAAATTCATCCGAATAGAAACGATTTGAGACATTAACGAAAAAACTGTTCAAAAAACACAAAAAGATACACAAAAAATGTTGTTAAGACCATTCCATGAGTTCGATTCAAGGTAACTCCAGAAGGGGAGACAGAGAGGAGGCAGACGGGAGCACTGGTCTCAATAACATCCACGTCTCTGTTTTCTTTTCATAACACAGCTTCTGCTACACTTTTCCGGCTGCCATGGACAGAAAGCTGAAGAAAGCAAAAAGGGAAGCGGCGAAAAAACTGTCTTATCTGGTCGACCGCAACATTAGTTAGATTTATGTTCCCTTCTTCTGTGTAGACCAACTCCAACACTTCGCTATTTCATTTCTTAAAGCACCAGTACACCGCATAACGGCCCGCGGGTGTCAGCATGAAACCCGCACCACATCGGAGCCCGCCGATTTTTTTTTCAACGGCGGGCTCCACCGCGCGGCGCCTCCTAGTTTTGCTTGTGGTGACAAAACTTTCTGCAAGGCTGGGGCCGTGTACTAGCAGTTTAATCCCTTCATCTCTCTACTATATACACATTACTACCAGGGAGCACCCACGAACCCGTACATCTCCCTTACTTATAGGGAAGGTTGGCACAACAGCGCTGATGCGATCCAAGCTGATCAAAGCTGTACCACCCCCCACCACACCAATGCGGGGATAGGACGGGCGCTGCTGGCAGGGAGATAACCGCAGAGCTAGTAACGAGCACTGTGGCAATCGCTGTATCTCCCCCATCCAATATTAACGGTGTGAGGAGCCTGAGGCAAGCAAATATTGGGTGGCTCTAAGACCATGCACGAAAACAGGGGTGTGACATCACGTTCATTCAATTCTGACACTCTTCCAGATGAGCAGACAGTCCACTCATGGCCCCTCAGACGTCAGAATTCCAAAAAAAAAAAAAAATCCTGAAAATTCTTCTCAGAAGAGCAGCAAAGACCTCTTGAAAATTGTTCTCAGACGAGAGGACTGCTCGTTTTTCCTTTTTTTTTTCTTTGGGGTGGATGGGGGGGTGGGGGTGGGAGGGGCTTGTGGAAGGGGGAAAAGGGGCGTGCCTGAGCTTATGACACTGGCATTCACTCACATACTCGCCATCAGCACTACACCACCTACTCCTCAGTTGCCCGGAAACAAGATTCAAAAGCAGAACACCTTCGCACGGTTGGGGTTCGGGTTGGGTTTGAAGTGGGGGGAAGGGGGGAGGAGGGGGGGGGGGAAGGGGGAGGAGATCGGAGTAAAAATTTGCTCGTAGTTCAAAAGTACTGAAAAGTAACAAGAGAAATCTTCTGTACTACATTTAAGTGTAGAGAAACAGATCGGTCGCACCCAGAGAGTCGTGATGCAAAGAGAAAGATAGCAAAGGATTACTTACAGCAACACATTCATGAGTGAACAAGACATCATCGCAAGAGCCGTTAATTTTGTCCTCCACGATACAAGATTTTTATCCCCCTAACGACAAGAGGTGGGGGGGGGTACGGGTGAGCGGCAAGTAGAAGTTACCTTTCCCATCCAATGAGCTCCCATGCAAGTCGTTGCAGTTGCAGCCTCCTTGGTGTAATAATAGGCATAACTATAACCCTGTTGCGGAAGGTTCAAGAGGTAAATCGAGAACACTGGACGGTTGAGATCGACGTCCCGTTGAATGATATTTTCGACCGTCGAGTAGTGAATTTGCGCAACTGAGTGTGCTCCACTGCCTCCAACCTGCAGAATACAACACAGACGAGGGGAAGGTTGGTTTTTGTTTTTTTTATTGTTTTCAAGAGAGTATCGCGTTGTCCCGGCCAAAGGGGAGGGGGGGAGAAGGGAGAGGGAAGCAACACACCAGCGTGAAAAAACAGCAAAGTCAGAAAACACTTTTAAAAAAAGAAACGAAACATGGGGAACAACTGATATGACAAATTTTGCACAGAGATGGCTGTTTTCCACAAACCACAAGGATATAGGTACTTTATATCTAATCTTTGGTGCAATTGCTGGAGTAATGGGCACATGCTTCTCTGTACTAATTCGCATGGAATTAGCACAGCCAGGAAATCAAATTCTTGGTGGAAATCATCAACTTTATAATGTGTTAATAACAGCTCACGCTTTCTTAATGATCTGTGCATACAACGTGAACCGGGTAAGAAAAGCTTCACAAGAGAAAAGAAAAAGCAGAACAAGGCGGAGATGAAAAGAGTAGGGGCACGATCAGACTTCGCCACAAAACAGAAACAGATTCTTTGCAGCTGTGAAGGGATGCCCCCTCTCGGTGGTACATGCAGAGATGGGGGGGAGGGGGGGGGAAAGGGGGGGGAGGAAGGGAAAGGGTGAGGGTTTAACGAACATTGGGGGTTGTTGTGCCTTGCCTGTATGTGACAATGTGCAAACCAGAGACTGAGAAAGAAGCATGAGTCTCCGGTCAAGTCCCTGCAATGACCAATTTCCAAAACCATTCTGAAAAACGGGAAAAAGTAGGCATTGCAACACTCAGAAAAATAAGAGGAGAAGGAAGACGAGGAGAAGGGGAGAAGCAGGGAATAAGGCAAAGGGAGATGAGGAGAAAGAGGGCACCAGAGAGAAAGCTGGAGGAAGAGGAGACATGGGTAAAAGGCTGCACCCAGATGAGCCCAGAGTCAGACACAAGACCAACAGCAACGCTTTCCAACTGGACATCCAAGGGAAACGAGGAAGTATGTTGGCAATTGAGAGAATTGGGCGGAAATTTCACTTGCAGAAATGGAAAGATACAGACCGTAGATCACATAAGATCAACGTTCGGTATCTCTTATTCCCTCCTGCTGGTTGAATCTTGGCCCCAAATGCGTGACATACGACCACCTCTCATTCCCCCCGAACACCCCCATGCCTTTTATCGACCGCACCCGTGGCACTCTCTACACCATATCCAGCAGCGCCGCCGTCATCCCGATAAAGTTGATGACAATATATTGTCACAAAGTTGTCAGAGCACAAGGAAAACAGAATGAAAACAAAGAAAAATAAATTCATTTTTTTAATCTTCTTCCTTACAACTCCCCCTGTTCAGAACCTCTTGCGTACAAGGCCGCCCACATGGATGTAGGTTGAGCGGCGGCTGCCCCCACCCCCGTGTGTCATATCGACCCACTTGCACACAGCCAAAAGGCAAAGAGGCAATGAAAAGAGGAAGGGAACAGCCAAACATTACAGAACAGGGGGCAAGCAAATCCTAGATGACAAGTCCCGCATCCAAACACCGCCCCCACGTCACAGGCCAAACGACGAGACAAACCAGCCAGGATTCCAAACACAATAAAGCCTTTGACACCACCAACAGATATGCATAAAGAACAATCCCAGTTGACGATTCCCACATATAAGCACCGCCCCCGCACTATAGGCCGATCAACGGGAAGCAACCAACCAGGGTGCCAAAAAACACCTTATCTGCAAAAAAGAATTGAATATATTGCGGCTACCGCAACAAACACAAAAGATAATCCCAGATGACGATTCCCACATAAAAGCACCGGCCCCCAAACCTAGGCCGAACAATGGGAATCAACCAAAACCAGGATGCCAAAAAAAGAACCCAGATGACTACCGGTAGTCCCACATGAAAGCACTGCTACGCATTCCAAATAGACCAAACAACGGGACAAAATCAACCGGGACGCAGACAAGGTTACCAAAACACATTCTGCCATATCAATAGTAAGAAAACGTAACCATACAGTAGGTCCGCAAAATGAAATACCCCAACCACTATCATGACAACAAATGTGGGAGACTAGGAGAGAGAGACAAAATCGGGGCTTCAGCTAGACACCCTCATGCCTTTGTATAGATCAAGCATTCCACTCTGTACCTTTTCAAACATCGCAACTTTTGTGCATTTGTCCTGTAGTTTCATTGTGACTGCAAGAGTATGAATCTGTGATTACTAAAGGAGGAGAGAGAGCGGGAGAGGGTGGGAGAGAGGGAGGGTGAGAGAAACCAAGTCCGATAGTGAGCACACAGGAAGTTTTTCTACATACTCTGGTAACTGCTGCACGCACAGCATCCTCAATTTCAGTTGTCAGTTCCTTGGCACCCTTTACCACCTGGAAAATCAAGTTGGTCTTGACATGAAGTGAATGAACCTGCCACACAGGAACACGGAAAAGAAGGATAATTTGGTTAAGGATTGACGCCTTAAAGGTGTATATGAGGGCAGAGGAAGGGGTGAAACTGAGGGGGGCCCGCACAAGCGGTGTTCCGGGGAGGAAGGAATTGAGGGGGGCCCGCACAAGCGGTGTTCCGGGGAGGAAGGAAAAAGAGAGAAACAGGGAGGAAGAGAAAACGGAAGAAATGAATGGCATATGGAAAATGAGTTTAAATTACTACGAAAACAGAGAACCAAAATGCACACACACACACACACACACACACACACACACACACACACAGAGTTCCGGTTGGCCCAGCGATCCACCAAAAACTGTGCCAACAATTTTCGGGGGTCCACCAGGCACTGGAAAATCGCCTGGGGACCCCTTTTTTTTTTTGAATTTTCTAGAAATGGGGCCCAACCGGAACCCCAAACCGGATACGGGATCCGGACATCCAGACTGGACCGTCTGGATCCCGATCTGGATGTTCGCTTAACAACCATGCTATTATTTAATCAAGTATGTTTTTCAATCTTTTTTATTTCACTCGATTATTCGTAAGGCTATTTATTATTTATGGATAATTTGCAAAATAGCCCCCATAAGTTCACATATATCTCGATTATTCAGAAGGCTATTTATTATTTATGGATAATTTGCAAAATACCCCCCATAAGTTGACATATATGCCAAAATGCCCCTAAAAGATGTGGGTAGAGTGGAATGCCCCTTTGACAAAAAAAATATTTTGTGAAATACCCCCGGCATCGGTTGGACCCCCATCTTTTGCAATGTACCCCTATCGGGTACCGCCCAACATTGAAAAATGCCCCGGTACTTACCCAACTTTTCCTAGGCGCGATTACAAAGACCAAGGCCCAATCGGGGAGGTCCAGATTGCAAAGTTGCACACCCACCTGACAGGGGCACAACACAAAGATTTCGACCCAAAAGGGCATTCCACTCTACCCACAACTTATGGGTGTATTTTGCAAATTATCCCTATTATTTATTTTAATACTGATTATTCATTACATTATTTCGATTTTCTTTTGTTATATTAACTATTTAGTTTCATTTTATTTTATTTTTGTTCTGTATTGAGGGGCCTGACGTTTCAGGCCGGGCAGTCCAGGCTTGATAGTTTGTTTAGGTTCGACAAAATAGGTCCCACTGTACTCGTGGTTTACGGCAGAGAACATATTTCTCTATTTCCTACTTCACCGGGCGGACTGCATCACCTTGGTTCCCCCCAGCCCCACCCCACCTCCACCCCACCGCCTGGCCGGGCAAGGTCCAGGCAAGGTCCAAACAAGTCCCCCACCCCCCCAAAAAAAACTATGTTAAACTATGTTATCCAGAAAAATAAACTGAACAACTTTTGCCTTAGAGTCGCATCGAAACTCTTTATTTGGATCGGATTGTTTGACTGACTGAATTACCCCATTTTGATTGGCGATTCACTTCCTTGATTGTGATATTGTATTCACTTCGGAAATTTGGATTTGAATCATTTGATTGATTGATGGTTGCAGCAAAGATTGCTTGTGTTTCTTCTTTCGATTTCTTCATTGACTGATCCTGCTCATCCTAATTCCACTCGTGGTTAATAGGTGGTGTCATTTTCGGCAAATTTTTCACCGAAACTGCCAAATTTCCCTGAATTTTTGCTTTTTCTTTTTGTTTTGTTTTTTTGTCTGATATGTATACGCTTTAGGGTATATCTGTATTCAGTTTCAGCGTATTTGGACGAGTAAGAAAAAGTTGGCAAAAACACCGAATTCGGGAAACGTTTTGGTGAACTTTGAAAGCTACTTCGAATAGGGTTTTATAATGCTGCTCAATTTAGTTTTTACGTTTTTTTTTGCCTGATGTTTGTATTATGAGCCTGCATAGTTCGTTTGCAAAAGTTTCGACGACATTAGTTGCAGTGATGCGGCGAAAAACCCCAAATTTTGGGCCTTCCATTAACCGCGTGTCCCTAATTCAAATATTTTTTGACTGATCAACGGATATGGGAGTCAAACTTTGTCACAAAAGTGATTTGGACTGGTCAGAAAGAAAGATATTGAAGGCAAACTTTTCACTTACAGAGCCCTGGATAACAGTTATGTACTCGTGCAATCTCAGCGAGCGCAGGTACTTGTCCAAGTCAGCCTGCAAACAAGAGGAAAAGATGTCAGACAACCAGATACTAATAGAGAAAAACAAAAGATAATACAGCACCCACAAATCAGCATGTCACCCCACTCACAAATCATGAAAGCCACATTCAGAGAATAGACATCATTCCAACAGGACCACGACCACTCGCCATCAAAAATTGTACATGGTCACCTGGGGCTTTATGAAGCCCATCTTTCAATCCACATGTCACAAAGAGAGTGCGGGTCGACTAGAAGCCGAAAAACTAGAAAAGAAAGGAGTTGAGTTACTTGAGTATTAAAAAATACCCAAAAACGGCTTGAAACGGGGAGGGATGCGGAGGAGAAGGGGGGAGAAGGGGGGGAGAAGGTGGGGGGATAGGGAGCGGAGGAGAGCGGAGAAAAGGGGAAGGGGAGAGCGGAGAAAGGGGAGGGGGGAGAGCAGAGAAGAGGGACGGGGGAGAGCAGAGAAGAGGGACGGGGGAGAGCAGAGAAAGGGGAGGGGGGAGAGCGGAGAAAGGGGAGGGCGAAAAACAAGTGAAATTGGCCAGGCCTCAGAGGGAGAGGGGAGGGGGGGAAGAGAGCATAAAGGGGGGAGGGAGAGAAAACGAAGTTAACAAGAAGTGAAAGGAGGGGGAAGAGGGGAGGGGAGAGGCGGGATGGTGCAAAGTATGCCGCAGTGAATTTAATGCGCACTCTTTTCTTGACTTTTTCCCATGTGGAAGCAGCAGCACACCCTTTTCTTGACTTTCCCCTATGCAAGTTAAACCACCAGTACTTCCGAGCCTCTTTTTACCGAGGCTCCCCTACACAAGTTAAACCACCAGTACTTCCGAGCCTCTTTTTACCGAGGCACCCCTAGGCAAGTTAAAC